CTATCGGCCGACCCCAAAAGCCATTCAATGAGAGTAGCGATAGATCTCGAAAAAAGAAAGTGAAGCTTTTGCTGGCATCAAGCAATGATGAAATTGTTCTTGCAGCTCAATTGAATTTACGGTCTACCGGTAGACGTGATGCAGCAGAAATAGTGAAGCAAGTATAGTAATTTCTTAGCTCTTCTCTGACCGATATGCTTTTCTTTAATTTTTTAGCTCTTCTCCAAGAAGAGCCAAGAAATTAAAGAAAAGCATATCGGTCTCCAAGTAAAGTGCCCATAAAAATGACATGTGAAGCTTTAGCCCTTTTTTTTTTGGATAAAAAACTTACAAAAGCAAATCTAGCAAATCTCACAATGCTGATATTTTCCCAAATTATTTGGAGACAAAAATTGATGCTATCTGAACAAAATTGAAATCACCGAATTCTCTGCAAAAATAGAATTGCAGTCACTGCTTGACCATATTATACGACGTTTAGTGTTGATGCAGTCGGAAGTGTTACAGCAGATACCAGTAGGTGAAGGCATAGGCATGCTTCTGACATTAAAAAGTGGAGCTGTGATGAAGTCCGGGACAAAGCCAGTACAAACAATTATTCACGGACATGCAAGATGTAGATGATATGTAATACTTGTTACATCTATTGTACCATTTCAAATGACTACCTTTTCTACTGGTTCAAACCAAGAGAAAAAATAATTCTGTGGCAGAATCCTGTGCTTTCATTGACAAAATATTGTTGGACTATCAAAATACGTTTAAAAAAAAGAGAGTGCAAAACTAATAACAAAAGAAATCGATAATATAAAATCAAAAATTGTATACGTAGAAGATCGTCAAATTCTTCTTAAACAAAAACTTGTTCTCATCATGTTTGACAGAAAGATTTGTAGTGTGCTGTCAAATCAAGCAACACTAAACTGTCTTTATGGAGCGACCTCTTCCCAAATGAACAATCTCAGCTCATTCAAACAAAAAACCGAATGAAGCAGCATTGGCTATGCATGGGCTTATAAAGTCTTCATGCTTGGATAAAATGTTTTGAATGCATCTTGCATTTATCGTACATATTAGAGATTAAATCTTCGTCAAATACAAAAAGAGGACAAAGCCTAACAATAAAAGTGAGGACGAGGATAATGATAATTAAATAAAGAAATAAATCTCAACGAAGCCTGTTTCATAAATACAGTGGTGCCTCGTATAACGTACGCCTCGAATAACGAACGCTGCGAATAACGGACTTTCTGTTTGNCGATGACGTTTTACCGCGTTTTACGCGTCCCTTTTAGCGTCTTTATACGAATATTGTCGCAATTTTTTCGCCGCGTTATAGGAACCCGCGTTATAGGGGTCTACTGTACTAATACACTAATTACATGGGATATACTAATATCTATACTAATGTAATTCTTTCATTCTTTTCGGTTATCCGATTTTTTCAGTTATCCGACCTACCTGAGTCCCCAATTCAGTCGGATAATCGATGCTCTACTGTATGTGTACTAGCGTAATTTTCAGCACGGAGACTAATTCAAATTACTTGTGTTAACGCAATGACATTGATTCCTCTTTAGTCGCCAATAAATTTTTATTGATATTTCGGATTTCTCGTAACATGCTTTTTGTAGCACTGTCTTCCAAGGAATTTCTGTAAGAAAAAGATATGAAAGTTCTGCTTTAGCGGCCTCATATTTTCTCGAGTTTCAAAATTAATTTTTTTCGAAGAATTTTTGTCGCATTATGAAAATTGTGTCAGTTTTTCTATTCGCGCTTATCATCGTAGAGCATACAACGCTACATATAAACACGGCGATACGTAAATATTTAGTAAGCTATAGTTTCTACGAATTATTATAGGAATTGGCACATCTATGTGCCGAGAATGCATGGTATTACACTAATGTTCTTAAGGCTTAATCTTATTTACAAGTTTCCAGTAGCAGAGGAGAGCGATGGTGGTAGTTTTTGTAGAAGCAATCCCACAAACTATCTCTCTAGCGGCATGCCACTCCATTAAAGAAAATTCCGACGTGTCGAATGTTTGTCGCTATAATCTCCATATCAACTAAGAAGATGAAGAGAACAGAAGAAGAAGAATGTTTGTCGCTGCCGCTAAGATTTATCGCTTTCGATAGCCAATAAAATGATAGTATGTATCTAACGACATAACAATAATATATATTCCATTAAATTCATAATAGGAAATCCGATTCTCCTCTGTGTTCGACAATTAATTGTAAAAATACGCCAGAAAGACCTAACAATAGGCTTTTCCTATTTCCGAAATATTCGGAACGAAAAAAGAGATGGAAAATTGTTATCCAGTGAATTGGTCTCCGCTGCTATCTGTTGGACTAAACTATTTGAATCGTGTTCCATAGAACAAAACGTATTTAAAATAGAAACAAAAATATAAATTAAAGATGAGAATTTGATTTTGAAACATTACTTTTTTATAAAAACAGAAAATTAACATTTTGAAATAAAGTTTAGGGTGCTAATTCATTTACTGGGTGACGAATGTTATGCAATAATCGACAGATGCGGGATGAGCAATTTGTGTAACGACCTGTTTCGAGTACAATATAATTCCTAAAATACCGTTTTCTTGTTCTGAATGAAGAATCTCTCGTCGCAATAAAACTTGAACTGCAAAAAATTGAATGTAAGCATTAGCTAAATGAGAAATGAAATAATAAATAAACGATAGTTTTCATTGCTAAGCTGCTCACTACGAAGATTTTACATCAAACGGGAGAATGCGTTTGCATGTATATTTAGGCGCTCTATGTTTCGTACTTCAAAAATATTGCAGTGCGAGTAATCGGTTAATGCATTAGCGTTTCTAATCAGCTCATTTGTATAGCTGCAAATGCTACCGCTTTCAATAGAATAAAAGCAAATGCATACATGCGGCACAGAACGGAAAAACGAACCGGAATGTCAAAACATCCCTTTGCTGTAAGATGCCATGGATAAGAGGAAAGTGGTTTGGCGTTTAAGATGGAGAAGGAGGAAATCATTTTTGAGTCATTTTCGTTTAAAACTTTTACTTTTACTAAATTGCTTTATTTATCAAGATTTCGGCAGAAGAAAAACCCGTGAAATAAGAAATGTTTTTATAATAAAAATTAAAATTAGAAACAGATTTTGTATGAAATAAATTTTAATATGCCTACTACATTCATATGTGTCAAACTATGCTCATAATTTTAAAATATAAAAAGGCAAAAATTTGTATAGTATTAAAAAATCTTTCTGTGTTGGAATTTGAACTTTCTACTATTAAATACAATTTCGTTTTTTACTTTTATTATTTATTTTAAGCTATTTTTGAGTGTATATTAGTATTTATCTCATGTTCAGAAAACCAGATAATCCAGAAATTCAGACCACTTCCGGTCTCGAACTTGCCGGATATTTGGCTCCGGTACTGTATTTTAACTTAAATGTTGTGACAACAAACAATGACAAGTAAATAATTGTATTAAAATGAAGTATTTTCTTTCCAAATATATTTAAAACATAATTTTATTTCTCGGAAAATTAGATAGCTTTATTTATTTAACTTATTTTTTAAGAAATTCGCTATGAATTTTCTCCATTTTTATTAATTTCTTTTGCCGTAATTATTTAAATTTAATATTTCGCTTAGGAATATCTTCATTACTGAAATTCGTATGGTCGATATAAATCCGTCAGGAACATAGGAGCTTGGAAGAAAACGTTTTGGTTTTTATCGGTTTCTGTTATAGAGCTATAACAAATAATAATAATGTGATTTTTAAAATAAAAATTAATGCCAACATTTCTGGCAATTCACGCCTTTTAATTTGTAATCAACGAGGAAATTCTCTCCGAATCGTTAACAGAAATCAAACATAATTGTAGGAATCTTTTCGAAAATATTTTAAAAATAGAATATGTCACAAAATTTTGACTGATGATAGTTTTATCATCAGTCAAAATTTTCGACGAAAAATACATTTTAACTTACGAAAGCAAAATTATAATTAAAAAAGGAAAATATAAGTGAATGAGACGAGATGCCGCGAAACTTTTATTAGAAAAAGTTTAGCAAGATAAAGTAAAAAAATTTATAATTTGGGCTGCAATTTGAAAAAAATTGTAGACCTATAAATTCCCACTGTCGTCCATCCGTTTTTCTATCTGTTTATCCTTCCTTAATCTCGAGAACAGAGTTAGATACATGAAAATCAAGACCAGATATGGAAAGCTTAGAGGCAGGAGCGATTAACTACTGTATATACGAACTTCCGACGCAAACTCAATTCAAAACTTTCCCTGAAAGCAAATAACGGATGACCGGCACGACTCTATTGTTAAAGGAAAAGTATGATGTACAGGGGCAAACCACTAATAATCTGAGGTTTTTTTTTAACTCTTTCCGCTCTGTGGGCACTAAGAGAGTTTATTTTTTGCAAGCCCATTATCGGTTCGGCCAGACCCACAATGGGGCTGCCGGGTGGTGAGGGACGGGGCCCGACATATCCGAACGGACCACTGCTCGAAAAATTCCTGGGGGTTTTCCGACCCGTTCGGATTCGAGCCCGGGTCCCCAGAGCGGTAGGCTGCCACCTTGACCGCTCGACCATCCGGCTGCTAACTAATCTGAGGTGAAGAGCATATATTTTAAAATTAAATAAATTAAAAATATGATTAAAAATTGCAGCCCGGCGTTGTGACAATGTCACTATAAATAATTGCTAGTTTTATTTCATTCATACTTCTATTGCGAATACTTTTTAAAATATTTTCGAAAAAAAATTATATGATAGCTTAATTCCAAAATATTTTATAATAATTCAGTTTATTTATTTTCAAATAATACTTATTTTTGAGAATTAAGCAAAATTATTTCGTCATCGATATTTAGAACTAAAAACTGGAAAAAGTCGGACATTTTAATAAGAGTACTGTAATTGAAAACTTCTCAATTACGCAAATACAACACTCACATTCTTTTACGTCATCTTTATTAGGGAATATTTTAAATTCAAACTATTTCATATAAACTCTTTGGACATAAATAACGCATTTAATACTTCTTTAAATATCCTTATTCACATATTTTTGTTTGATTCCCAAAATCATCTTGGCCAGAAAAATTTTATCAGTTATGGGTCCTATACGATTTTCTCTTTTTTAATATAGTGCAGACGTCGATAATAGGGAAAGTTTCAAATTTACACTTAAGCGAAGGAACAAAGGAAGCTGTTTGTTAAAAGACAACTGAGACATGAAATCATTTTGAATTTCTGTTATAGTGTTTTATATGTCGTTTTACACAGTTACAATAAACGATCCTCTTTAAAATAAATAATCATTAATTATTTTAGGGTAAGAATTGAAGTTTGGCCGAGGGCTTCAGTTGGAGAGAACAAACGCAGGCCGTGTCTACGGCCACCCAGTGAGGTTGCCACGAATCTCCGTCGCTTCGACCGTAAACTTGAACCCATGACTTCTTAGGACGGCAAACGGAATTCATATTATCTGTAAAATATAAATTTAAAATTCTTCATTATTAAATTATAAGTGTCGGTTAGAATATCTGATACTTGTATCGCTTCGACTTGTGTCAATTATTGGTGTTGTTACTTCGGAATATAACTTTCAGTCCAAATATAGGTTTAGGGATAACTATTATACATTTTCGACACAAATAATTTTGTGCTTGCGGATAAAATAATAACAGATGATTTAAAACGTAACCTTTTTGTAAATAGAGATGACGCCGTGTCTTAAGCACATCTTACCATCTCTTCTACGCGTTGCGACCAGATGGCCGAACGGTCAAGGTTGCAGCCTACCGCTCTGGGGGACCCTGGATCAAATCACGGACGGTTCAAATAATCCCCAGTAATTTTTCGGAGGTAGTCCGTTCGGATATGTCGGGTCCCGTGTCTAATCTTATCATTCTTCGTTAACAGTCACGTTCGACACGGCATCGAAATGATTGTAGCGCGCGCTTGAAACACGTGTTTTTTTATTTCTTTGCTTCGTTTAGGACAGGGGTGGCCAACAGTTTTTGCCCCCCGGGCCGAATTGGAAAGAAAACTTTTTTCACGGGCCGAACCAGAGGCTGCCCTAGGAAGATTTTGAGGTGGTGCGAGATCTCATTGTGGCGTTACCCCGTAGAGACTAAATTGTACATAGAGATTACAGATACGTTTTTCACATTATCATGCTTTATCAATATTCTATGCTGTACTTAAGAGTATTGTAATGGAGGATTAACTCTAAACGCGCAGTGAGTTGTTGACCTTTTTTTTAGGCGTCAGAAATTTTTCATCGAGCTATTCGGACTTCAGTAGCTAATATTGAAAGATTGATAGCGGGCCACTTAAATTCATTAGACGGACCGGATCTGACCCGTGGGCCGTATGTTGGCCATGCCTGGCTTAGGATAAAAAACAAAGCTGATGAGTAGCTATGGAAAAAGGGTATGTGTCCTCAGTAAAATATAGTACCGAACTATAGTACTATACGTGATATTGTTCAGTCAGATTCTTAATACGAACACAGTGATTCGTATTAAGAATCTGACTGAACAAACGGTTAAAATTTTTGTACTGTACATCAAATCAGCTTAAATAATGTTTTAATGTGATCCTAAATGGTTATATATTTATGAGTAACAACCAGTAATAAAAAGTAATTAACAGGATTCGCATGGGATTATGCAAATGTCTCTTATTTAGCACGGCAATCTTTGCATCATTTACGTTGTCCGACATTATCTTCTGATTTTCTTTTGTTACACGTAATTTGTGACAGATCAAATACACGTATTTTTAAGTCTACGTATTTTTAAGGCCATATTTGTTTAACTTAAACTTAAACAGACTTAAACGGCCTTTGCAATAGCAAAGGCCGTTTAAGTCTGTTGTGAAACCATATTCAAGATTTAAGTTAGTCATCCAAGTGTATAAGTATTCTATATTTGTTTTATGACCATGTTGAACCAACTTTTTTTTAAAATTAAGTTTTTAGTGTTGGAGAACGAAATTTTAAGAAGAGAGCTATTTAAAGTTTGGAGAAACGAACCAATGCTTTAAGAAAATTGGCCCGTGTGCGTGATTATGTAATGTCTAAAAGTGGTCTGGAAGATTATGATGAGCATATTCGTGAACGAGTGCAAAAAAGTGCTGAATTTTGCAAAAAGCTTAAAGAACGGTGGACTAACTGTCATTACATATTGAAACAATTCTTGGATAAAAGTAGTGATTAGTTAAACGTTAAAATTTTCTTTTTTGATGCAAGCGGTGCTCAAGAAAGAAAAACTATCGGCCGACCCCAAAAGCCATTCAATGAGAGTAGCGATAGATCTCGAAAAAAGAAAGTGAAGCTTTTGCTGGCATCAAGCAATGATGAAATTGTTCTTGCAGCTCAATTGAATTTACGGTCTACCGGTAGACGTGATGCAGCAGAAATAGTGAAGCAAGTATAGTAATTTCTTAGCTCTTCTCTGACCGATATGCTTTTCTTTAATTTTTTAGCTCTTCTCCAAGAAGAGCCAAGAAATTAAAGAAAAGCATATCGGTCTCCAAGTAACAAAGTGCCCATAAAAATGACATATGAAGCTTTAGCCCTTTTTTTTTGGATAAAAAACTTACAAAAGCAAATCTAGCAAATCTCACAATGCTGATATTTTCCCAAATTATTTGGAGACAAAAATTGATGCTATCTGAACAAAATTGAAATCACCGAATTCTCTGCAAAAATAGAATTGCAGTCACTGCTTGACCATATTATACGACGTTTAGTGTTGATGCAGTCGGAAGTGTTACAGCAGATACCAGTAGGTGAAGGCATAGGCATGCTTCTGACATTAAAAAGTGGAGCTGTGATGAAGTCCGGGACAAAGCCAGTACAAACAATTATTCACGGACATGCAAGATGTAGATGATATGTAATACTTGTTACATCTATTGTACCATTTCAAATGACTACCTTTTCTACTGGTTCAAACCAAGAGAAAAAAAAATTCTGTGGCAGAATCCTGTGCTTTATGAAAACACGCTTTTTTAAACATAATCTTTGAACGTTTTTAAAAAATTAATTTTTCTATCCAAAAGAACCGCATGATTAACTCATATGCACAAAATTATCACCGGAAAGTATATAAAAATATATGAGAGTCAT